AGTTGCACCTTTGGCAAAGAAGCTTCCTTGACTGTCGTTTTCTTGGCCCAACAATAGTAGCGGATTGGTTGATGGGGTGTGGTATACAACCGGCCAGGGCTCCGAGGACACGCACTCCACTTTCGTATTGGCATTATTTCTTTATTCTTATCCACAGTAATTCTCACCTTTTTTCCTGCAGGGTTGGCACTAGAAGCTTTCTTGGAGCCCATGGTGACTTTATTTTGCAGGTACCAATAACTAATACGCTGTGAAATATGAAACGTTTCCTATTGGTATGCGTTGATGCGACCGCACTGGCTGGCTTTGAAACACTGGCTCCCCATGGGACACCTGAGGCGCGCTCAGGGCCACCATGTGGGATGGCCTCGAAAGAATTGCGTAGGGATGAGTTTTTTTGCGTTTGCCGAGGCAAAAATTTTGCGTTAAAATGTATCATATGCTGTATTTAATGTTAGGTGATGCCATCGTAGCCGAGGGTCCATGTAATCTGTCTGTGTGTGGGTGTGTGTGTGTGTGTGTGTGTGTTGTGTTGTGTATATTATATATATATATATATATTTTTATATTTAGTTATATTATTATATATATTTTATATATATATATAGATTATATATATATATATATATATTATGGTATATTTCTTTCAACACCGGCGTTTCCCACCGAGGCAGGGGTGGCCCAAAAAGGAAAAACGAAAGTTTCTCCTTTTACCATTTAGTAATATAATACTGGTGAAGAGGTTACGAGCCCTTGTCCCGGCATTGTAAGTTGCCTCTTACAACACGCATGGCGTACGGAGAGATTCTGTTCCACGTCCCCATGGAGATAAGAGGAATTATATATCAAGAATAAGAATAGAAAAGAATAATAGAAGAAAACCCAGAGGGGTGTGTATTTATGTGCCTCTGTACAGGTATGTGTTGTGTGACCTAAAGTGTAAGTAGAAGTTGCAAGACGTACCTGAAATTTCATGTTCATGAGTCAGAAAAAAGGACCCCCTGCAATCCTACCATAGGTAAAACAATTTCAGGGCTTTCGTTTTCACTCATTGGCAGGCCGGTTGTTTCGTACCTCCCTGGGAGGTTGCTGGTCTATAAAACCTACTACCTACATTTGATTTTAATATATATATATAAATCAATAGGGCCCCGCTTTTCGGCGTGCTCGCTTTTCGGCGTTTTCCGCTAATTGGACATTTCAAATTATGACCAAAACTACACTAGACGGCTCCCCACCTGACTTTCTAATCGGTCACCGTGCCCCTCCCTGGTTGTTTACTTTCTCCATGAGCTCAGTTATCGCTAGTCTTCCTTTTGTCTGGAAACTCCCAAATTTCAATTTTTTAAAAGTTATTTCATATTTTTTATATACTCTGATTATTTATACTTATGTAATACCTGTACCTAATAATCTTTACATAAATTCAAGTCATTTAAAGTCGGTATTATTTACGGTAATATACTCATTTTCATTATTCCATCCATCTGATATTTTTTTCTAAATTTATATAATATTACACGCTGCATAACATATAAAAATAAGATATATACACACCACAAGTAGAATAAATTAAACATAAAATATAAGATGTGGTGTGCCTGGTTTGTTTACATGAATCTGCGCCTGTTACTCTCATGTTACTCAGTCTTTCTCTCTCTCCATTTATTCGTTTTATCTCATTGACTTACTCCTGACCCTAAATTAAGAACTACCAATATTTTAAGGTAAGTAATGTGTGAACTGTATATACATTTTATCTCTCTGGGATGCTTAAATCATTAGATTAGTATGTTGTGGGTGGGGTGGCCTGGCGAGGTTTAGTCTGGCTAATTACAATACATGCACACTTGAGTTCTTACAATAAATATACTTGTCTCACCCTAGATTAAGATATTAATATTTTAAGGTATAGTAATGAGGGCACTATGTGTGTATTGTACCTTTTTGATTGTTTTTTTGATGCCTGGTTCTATGCTAACTTTATATATGTAGTGTAAACTTGTTATCTATGTTTGTATGCTTTTATAAGTGGTAAAAAAGGGTGTTACCACTTTACGGCGAGTTCGGTATTCTTGTACGGCGGTAGGCCTGGAACTAACCTGCCGTATAAGTGGGGCCCCCTCCTGTATATATATATATTTATATATATATTCGATATATTTAGATATATATATATATATATATAATATATTATATATCTAAATATATATATATATATGTAGTAGGTTGGGTAGACAGCAACACCCAGGGAGGTACTATCGTCTGCCAAGTGTGTGTAAAACGAAAGCTGTGATTGTTTTTACATGATGGAGGATTGCTGATGTCTTTTTTGTCTGTCTCATAAATATGCAAGATTACAGCATGTCTTGACTTCTACTTACACTTAGGTCACCACTAACATACATGTCCACAATATTTATAACACGCATCTGAGTTTTCTTTGATTTTATCTTATTAGTTCTTGGTCTTATTTACTTTTCCTTTTATATCCATGGGGGGAAAGTGAATAAGAATCTTTCCTCCGTAAGCCATGGTGTTGTAACAGTCAACTAAACTGCTGGGGAACAATGGGCTAGTAAAACCCCTTTTCCTGTTAAAAGATTACAAAAAGAATATGGAAGAAGAAAATTTTCCAAAGTGAGAAGTCTGATTGTGCGTGGATGTTGTGGCAGATGATAAGAAGAGATGATTGTATATGAGGATGTTATGAATGAGAGAAGCTGGATGTCCTGGCTTTAAGTGAAAAAAGCGGAAGGGGGTGGGAGAGTTTCAGTGCGAAGAGGAATAAATGGGATTAGGTCAGGGGTTTCAAATAGGTTAGAGCTCAGAAGGAGTAGCAATAAATGTTGAAGGATAAGCTATATGGCAGGAAAGAGGGACTAAGATGTATTAATTTCACGGATTATGGGATAAAAATAAAGATTGGGATGTGAAAAATGGGTTATAATAGGCGTGTATGCACCTGGAGGGAGAGAAGTGTAGAGGAGAGAGAGATGTTTTTGGACTTTTGTTGAGTGAATTGCGTTTGTGGGGAGTTTTGAAATCATGTGTGAGAGTATTGGTTGTTGGGGATTTCATTGCTAAAGTGGTAAAAATGTTTATGCGGGAAGTAGTAGGTAAATTTGGGGGGGCCAGGGGTAAATGTAAATGGGGAGCCTTTAATTTGAGACTATGTGTTGAAAGAGATTGGTAATATGTAATACATATTTTATTGAAAAAGGGATAAATAAATATACAAGGTATGATGTTGGTAGAGTGGAAGCAGTTGTGACAGTGGTTGATGGTGGTAGAGGGTGGTAGTGATGGTGGTAGAAGGTAGTAGTGATGGTGGTAACAGTTGTAATAGTGGTAGATGGTGGTAGCAATTGTAATAGTGGTAGAAGGTGGTAGTGATGGTGGTAGCAGTTGTAATAGTGGTAGAGGTGATAGTGATGGTGGTAGAGGGTGCCTTCTTTAGTGATTCAGCGATTATACCAACTCCTCCAATGTTGTTGGAGTTACATAGGGCTACAGAAAACACCACCGCCTCAGCTGCTGCTTCACCACCATTATGGACGGCTTACTCTCAGTGGCCCTTATATACCCAACAACAACACAACACAACACCTCTCGTGACATACGTAATGATTATTTTATTCATTCTAGAGTATATTCCATGTTTCTATGTTATTAATATTGTTTTTTGTCATATTAGTTGAGTTGTGATAGATAAATAAGCCGTAGAGTTGATATTAGTGTCATATTCTCCAACAATAATACACGCCATCCCTCCCTCACACAAACAAGTCTTCAATAAGTACAAAAGAAAGGAGGACACTGCAATAAGCCTGTTAGCCCATACTAGGCCAGTCCTTCACAAATCCAACCACTACAGAACAAATGCTACCCAAGCAATAAGCTCAGGTGCAAGTCTGACTCAAATCCAACCCTCTCACTCATATATTTATCCAACCTAAATTTGAAACTACCAATGTTTTAGCTTTGATCACCCTACTGGCAGACCGTTCCATCATCAACTACCCCTATTACCAATGTTCCTTTATACATTTTATTAGTGCTTTACATTTATTTGGCATTCTTTTCTGCATGTAAATCTATATTTATACTAGGGAAGTGACCCCTGAAGTGACCTAGAGTCCTTATGGAGGGGGATTCCCCTTCCAAACAATAACTTCTCCTCCCTCTCTCCTCCTCCCTGTCTTCCATTCAACAACAGCCTTCAATAAAGGTAACTGTCATGTTGAATGTTCATTCTTTTGTGCATGTAAATCTATCTTTTAGGTAAAAAAAATAGAAAACTTGATTTTTTTTTTAGTTTTAACAAATTAGAGCTTCAACAAATTTTGGCTGACTTTTTTTGTAGGTCTAATGAACATCACCTTATTTCTCCCCACATGTTCTACAGTTCAATTTAGAAATTTTCTGATTAGGCTCTGTTTTCACAAAGGTAACTACCATCTTAATCGACAGTCAACTGTATTTTTTAATATATAGTAATATAATAACAATATAATTTCTTTTATTATTATTAACACATCGGCCATTTCCCACTAAGGTAGGGTGACCCGAAAATACAAATAAAAAATAATTGGCTAATTAAATTTGGTGTAAAAAATAAATTTTCTTCTGGATGTAATTCTGCCTAGTGTTCTATACTACTTGAGTCGTGGAAGAACCTAAAGTATTTACCAAGATCAACTGACAACATATGACTAGGAATGAAAAATAATGACTTGAAAAATATGATGTTGAAAGTATGCAGATAAGACATATGCACTTTTCAAGATATTTATTAAGAATAAATATATGCCTTTTAAAAGTGCATATGTGTCTTGATCTTTGTGGAAAAATACCGATACTGTGGCTCCTCTATTGTAACTATAAAATGCAAAGCTACGTTATTCAGGATTTACGCTAAACTTCAATTAAGTTAAAATGAAAAGTTAAAGGAACATAAACATCATACTGTAGCTACCACAAAAATTATCATGACTTACAAAAAAAGAGACTGTAATATGCCTGATAGAGGTGATAATATATCATGTATGCCTCATAAGCTGGGCCCATAGATGGTAGAGAATGCATAAGAGTAAACAAAATGTGAATAGTAACATTAATTAGAGAAAATAAATAATAATAAATTACAGTATCTCTAAACACTATGTAGCACTGTGACCTCCCTCTTACTTGAACTAATGCATGTGCATGGGTGTCAAAACTGTATGAAATTCCTAACAACAGAAACTAGATGCCTCTCCTAATCAAAGGGAAAATCTGAATAAGATACATTTTCCAAATTAAAAATTAGGAACTTTTACTTTTATTCAGAAAATTCTTAATTACAGATGTAATTTACAAAGCTAAAATTATCTTATAATGAATATTAAAAAAATGTAAATAAGAGAGCTTTCACTATGAAAAACACAACTGTACTGTAATGTATTGTTAACATTTTAAAGTAAAGAGCATGTATAGTACAGCTGATTCATATTTCTTACCATATTATCAAAAAATGATGCTATAAAAATTAAACCCAATTTAAAAAAAAGTGTTCTCTCACCTTTTCAATGATGCATTCTCAAAAAATTATAGTGGAAGGCATTTACTGCTGTACTATATTTTGTCTTCAATACTTTTTTTATTGATGTTTCAGTTTGCTTTATTTTTTCTTTGTTTTTTTTTTAAATTTTTTCCCTTCCCTGACTAGTTTTAAATTTTTGTTTGGGGGGTTGAAAGGGCATTTAAAACAAGTTGCTTTGTCTTCCTCTAAGTTTCCCCATACTGTGTTGCGCCCCTTGACTGAGGACTTTCTTACTGCAATCCCCGGCTTTCTTTTCCCTCGATACATTTTAGTTGAAAACCCCCTTCCCAGTGTGGTAGCTGCTCTTCTTGAGCTTAAAAGGGGACATGCTTCACAATCTATGCACTGACTTTGGGGAAAAACCCAAATTTATCACCCTGAAACTGAGGTCTTGTAGATCTACTGCTGGGCTCGAGGAAAAAATTTGTTAAAATAAGAGTTATCTGAAGTATTTTATATGCACTTTAGTTATGGAAGTTAGGAGGGGAGTGCTGAAGTGGGGCAAAATCGTTACCCGAATGGGTGATGACACTTGTTTGGGGGGGGGGTGGTGGTGCAGTGCCCCGGGGGGGGGTAAAAGAGAAATTAAAAAAAATACTTATTGCATGTTGGTAGTAGGTGGTAGCAGCAAAAAACCCGGGAGGTAATACCCTCCTTTCCAAGTGAGGTTTTTAAAAAGAAAGCCCGTATTTGTTTTAAAATGATGGGGGGTTGGTGGGGTCTTTTTTCTGTCTCAAAAAACATGCAAGATTTCAGGTACAATTTTTCTACTTCTTCTTCACCCTTTGGGCACCCCTACACATTTAAAGAAGGGATGTACTACAACCCCCCTCTGGGTTTTCTTCTATTTTTTTTTAAATTATGTTTTTTGTTAAAATTTCCCCTTATTTTCCATGGGGAAAGGGAAAAGAAATTTTTCTTCCCCTTAAACCAAAGCGTGTTGTAAGAGGCGAATAAAATTGCCCGGGGGCAAGGGGATAGTAAAAACCCCTTTTTCCTGTACAAATTACCCAAATTTTAAAAAAAAAACTTTCATTTTTTTTTTGGGCCACCCCGCTTAGTGGGATACGGTTTTTGGGGGGTTTTTAAAGAAAAAAAGATTTTTTACTGCCCTAAACTTAAAATTATGTTTCGGGCCCCTTCCCCAACCTTTAAAAGACGGGGTTCCATGCCTAAGACCACATCGTTAAACGAATTTGTCATTAAGTGAGAAGCATACTATAATGGTAGTGAGTCTGTGTCAACCATCTTTGATATTGTTTTAATGTTACCTTTGCATCATTTATAACATTTCTGGTATATTCTTAAATATTCATTCAGTAGTGTACTGTATATTAAAATAAACAGAATAAAGGAAATCAGCTCTAATATACATTATTTAGGTATGAATATTGATCAGAGAGCCCATCGTAAGTCCAAGGCATTGGTAAACGAGTACGTCACTAAGTGAGGAGAGGCCGTACTTATAAATCTGAATATCCCAAGACTTCTTAATAACTGTTAAAATAATTTCCAAAAATCAATCCTTTTTCTTTGGCAAGGATTAATGCTAAGCAAGCAAAAGCTTTAATTCATTATAGCTGTAGCAACAATCACAAAACAATTTTTTTCTTTCAACAAACTGGCCGTATCCCACCAAGGCAGGGTGGCCCAAAAAGAAAAACGAAAGTTTCTCTTTTTAAATTTAGTAATTTATACAGAAGAAGGGGTTACCAGCCCCTTGCTCCCAGCATTTTAGTCGCCTCGTACAACACGCATGGTTTATGGAGGAAGAATTCTGCTCCACTTCCCCATGGAGATAAGAGGAAATAAACAAGAATAAGAACTAGAAAGAAAATAGAAGAAAACCCAGAGGGGTGTGTATATATATGCTTGTACATGTATGTGTAGTGTGACCTAAGTGTAAGTAGAAGTAGCAAGATGTACCTGTATTCTTGCATATTTATGAGACAGACAAAAGACACCAGCAATCCTACCATCATGTAAAACAATTACAGGCTTTCGTTTTACACTCACTTGGCAGGACGGTAGTATCTCCCTGGGTGGTTGCTGTCTACCAACCTACTACCTACATGCAAAACAAATATTTATCTGAAATACTGCATTTCAATAATGAAAAATAATAAAAATGAAAATGCTGACCATATGAAACTGTCGTATCTGAGCGCCTCTGCAAATACAGTGATTATGTATGAGTAATGGTGAAAGTTTTTCCTTCCTGTTTGGGTTTTTCTTTCTTTTTGGATCACCCTGCCTCGGTGGGAAAGGGCTGACATGTTTATTGAAAGATTTAGAGGTAAGACAGAGAGCAGGATTGCAGATGAGCAAGGAGGCTTTAGAATGGGTAATGGATGTGCAGATCAAGTGTTTACATTGAAGCATATAAGTGAACAATATTTAGATAAAGGAAGGAAAGTTTTCATTGCATTTATGGATTTAGAAGAGGCATATGATAAGGTAGATAGGGAAGCAATGTGGCAGATGTTGCAAGTGCATGGAATAGGTACTAAGTTACTAAATACTTCAAAGAGTTTTTACAAGGATAGCGAGGCTCAGGTTAGGGGGTGTGTAGAAGAGAGGGAGATTACTTTCCAGTAAAAGTAGGTCCTAGACAGGGATGTGTAATGTCACCACAGCTGTTTAACATATTTATAGATGGTTGTAAAAGAAGTAAATGCTAAGGTGTTGGGAGAGGGGTCAGATTAAATTATGGGAGATTAAATACAAAATGAGAGTTGACACAGTTAATTTTTTGCTGATGATACTGTGGTTTTGGAAGATTCTCAAGAGAAGTTGCAAAGGTGAGTGGACGAGTTTGGGAGGGTGTGTAAAGGAAGAAAGTTGAAAGTGAACATAGATAAGAGTAAGGTGATGAGGGTATCAAATGAGTTAGGTAAAGAAAAAATAGATATCACATTGGAGGGAGGGAGTATGGAAGAAGTGAATGTCTTCAGATATTTGGGAGCAGACTTGTCAGTAGATGAGTTTATGAAGGATGAAGTTAATCACAGAGCTGATGAAGAAAAAAAGGCGAGTGGTGCACTGTGGTATCTGTGGAGACAAAAAACGTTATTCAAGGAGGCAAACAGGGAAATGTATGAGAGTATAGTGGTACTAACACTCTTATGGGTGTGAAGCATGGGTTATAAATGCTGCAACTAGGAGGAGGCTGGAGGCAGTGGAGTTGTCATGTCTTGGAAATTAGGAGGTTGTATGGATTTACTAAAAGTATTATTCAGAGGGCTGAAGAGGGGTTGCTGAAGTGGTTTGGTCATTTAGAGAGGATGGAGCAAAATAGGATGATCTGGAGGTGTATAAATCTGTAGTGGAGGGAAGGAGGGATAGGGGTCATCCTAGGAAAAGACAGATGGGGGAGGGGAGGGGTAAAAGAGGTTTTGTGTGCAAGGGGCTTGGACATGTAACAGGTATGTGTGACTGTGTTGGACAGGAGTGAATGGAGGCAAATAGTTTTTGGAACCTGACAAGCTGGAGTGTGAGCAAGGTAATATTTTGTGAAGGGATTCAGGAAACCGGTTAGCTGGACTTAGAATCCTGAAGGTAGGAAGTACAATGCCTGCACTTTAAAGAAGGGGGGTTCGGGATATTGGCCGTTTGGAGTGAAATCTATACTGTCATAGCTAAGCACTTCTGCAAAGCCTGTGATTATGTATGAATGATGATGAAAGTGTTGAATGATGATGAAGGTGTTTCTTTTTGGGTCACCCTGCCTCAGTGAAAGACAGCCGAAGTGTCAAACAGAGGGTATGCCTGCATTCTATGCTTGCTCTGATTTCTTCATTTTTCCCTATCTAAGTAAGTGAAAGTTGAGTTTCATACTCCCAGAACCTGGTCTTGAGCTTGGCTCATGTTATTTCTTTTTGCCCACTGAAAATGTTGTTGCTACCTGATTGTAATTTTTCTGAATCTTCCATTGAGGTAACTTTCATACTTGCTTTGATATCATCTGCAAAGGATGATACAATGCTTTGACTAGTGTTTCTATGTTTGCTATGAGGGGAAAAAATAAACAGCAAAGGTGCTAGGACTTTGCCTTGGGGAACTAAACTTTTTATTTTACTGAGACTCAGCTTTGTTGTTTACCATCATTAATGTCTTGTTTGTTAAAAATTTGAATACTGATTTCCTTACTTTTCTTCTTATACCTATTTTATGGGCTAACATTCTATTGTCACATTTTATCACAGAAAAGACACAAAGGAATAAGAATTCACAGATACTGATAATCTAAAATGGCATGAATTATCACTATTACCTCAGGTTTTTTAAAGGATGCTGAAAGGCACAGGCACTGGTCTGCTAGGTGGTGGTGGTGGAGGGGGTTGAATTGGTGGAGGAAACTTGGTCGATTTGGAGGTGGTGGTGGTCGTTCAGAAGGTGGGCGTGTCATAGATCTCGCAATATTCGCCCCCATGCGATGCCCAACAGTGTTAGGACGAATGGAACCATGATTTGCTGATAGCCCACTTTGAATATTTCTGTGATTATGAGAGAGAGGAAGGGTGCGAGAAGGTAACAAAGAGTCCTCTCCAGGGCAACTATTATTTTGGATATGGAATTCTGGCTCACTTGGAATCCGACATTCTCTCATACTGTTAGTCCGACTTGCAGGTTTACTAGAAGGTGGAGTGCTCCCATTTGGCTGAAACAAAAATGCACTTATTTAATTCAATAATGTATTTGGACTATTTTGAATTTTAAACCTATTATGTTGTCTTATCATCACAGGACAAACAGCACTTAAAAAAGTTTAAAATTTTCACTTTTCTATAATTTTCCAAGACTGAAATTTAGTTTTCCAAAACAGTGCAAGTCATTAGTAGGGCTTATCTAAAACTCAAGTTTGCACTCTGCCCCACCAAGTATCCCATGAAAAGTTCCCACAGAGACTGCTTGTCTATCTATATAAATGAGCAATTACAGGTAAAACACTGATCGTTCCCATTTTTATGTGCACTACCTGCCATTTCTGATCTTCTTAAGTTCGGAAGCTCTAAGAAAAAATCAAGCATCAAACAGGAAAACAACTTTGCTAAACTAGCTTGGAAATAAATGATATATACAAAACAAATTCCACTACCTTTTCCAGGGATCACAAATCTTCACCTTCAACTTTCACACTTAATGATCTCCATCAACATGAGGTTTGACTTTAAACTCTCTCCTTTGTTCAATGCAAAACTTTTCTACTGCTTTAACATATCCACATATATACCTACAGGATCTAAGATTTCTTTTACAAATACTTACTTTTTAAATTAATTTGCAACAGTTTTGAACAGGCAGCTGACTGTCAATCTTACGTTTGTATGAAGGCCAGTTTAAGAAGACATGAACAGTTATGCAAATCAAATTCTACAATAAAAATTAAAAGATTCACTGAAGAAATAGCCTTTTAGCATAGTATTTTTTAAAATTACCTACCCATATTATTGCTCACCTGTAATATTGGCATTTTTGGTGGTAGTGTTGGTTTTGATCCGGTGGGAGGTCTAGGGGGTGCTGGTTTATTTCCAACAGATGGCTTGTTTATTAAAACTGGCTTACTTGGAAGGGCTGGGTGATAACCACTTTCAGAGGGAACCGAAGTGGGCAGCTCTTCCTGCAGTCAAATAATGATGAATGAAGCAACTACAAAGCTATTAATAAAAGCTAAGTACAGTAGAACCTTGATTAACACTTTTTCACTATAACAAGGTTGAAAAACTGAGGCATATTTTCGATGAGCACACACTACTTCTCATTTTGCGTGGAGTATAATTTTATGAGAAATTAGCTAAAAGGCAGTACACACACAGGTTAGCAATTAATAATTTCACTAAGTTTCTCATTTATGTGTTTTTAAAAATAATTTACTTACCTAGGTGTTTTAATCACAATTCTTAAATATGTTACTGAAATGATAATAAATTATGAAAATTGCTGTAATTAAATTGAGAGTAGGTTGGTAGACAGCAACCACCCAGGGAGGTACTACCATCCTGCCAAGTGATTGTAAAACAAAAGCCTGTAATTGTTTTACATGATGGTAGGATTGCTGATGTCTTTTGTCTGTCTCATAAATATGCAAGATTACAGGTATGTCTTGCTACTTCTACTTACACTTAGGTCACACTACACATACATGTACACGTTTATTTATACACACTCATCTGAGTTTTTTTTTTATTTTATCTTAATAGTTCTTGGTCTTGTTACTTTTCCTTTTATATCCATGGGGAAGTGGAATAAGAATCTTCTCCGTAAGCCATGTGTGTTGTAAAAGTCAACTAAAATGCCGGGAACAATGGGCTAGTAACCCTTTTCCTGTAAGATTATAAAAAAGAAAAGAAGGGGGAAAATTG